CAGAAGGTACAGTATCATTCTGAGGCCAAGGAACAGCCTATTAGCTCTGCATGCCATTAATTTTCATGAATAGTTCAATCTGATGCTCACAGGAGCTGTTGGGCATCTTTCCATTTTGTCTCGCAGGACCTGGATGAGGGCTTATTTATCTTTTTACTTCATACCTTACCTTTAAGCCCTTTAAGCAGCTCAGTGCAGCTGTGCAGGTTTCCAGCCCTGTACCAGGCTCAGTGCCCAGCAGCAGGCAGGATGCTGTCTGCAGCTCGGAGTGATGGCATGTCACAGTCAAAGCCATTCAGGGAGAATTAAACTTCAGGCTTGTTTGACTAAACTTCTGAATTCACCACAATTCTCCTGTGTTGCCAGCCTGAAGAAACAGCCCAGCAGGTTCTTGACTCATATGCCAAAACGCCTCCTTCATCCTTCCTGGAACTGGGAATGATTACTAATAGGTATTCTTGCTGAAATGATTTAGCATAACGTGCTGAATGAGATCACTAAGTCAAAGTATCTTTTCCTAAGTGAGTCTCTCACTGCTTGCCTGAATGCCAGAGGGGAAGGAGGATAGCATGAAGCAAATTCTTTTGCTGGCTTTTTACAAAATTTCATAAATTACTGAAGAAGTCACAGTAGGAAGTTTCACTCAGGTTCATTAGAAGAGATCCATGACGCAGGTCTGGCAGGCAGAGAAGGAGGGAGACACAGGGGTTTGGGTTAACCTCTCTCTTTCACACTTTCCCCTTTTTCAGTGCTCTCCAGTCTAGACTGGGAACTGCAGACAGGCAGTGAAACAAGGAGGGCACAAGAGTAAGGCTGGTGAGTGGCTGGGCACTCTTTGCCCTGCGTGCACAGCCCTGGGTGTGCATTGCTGTGCAGCTGCATCTGTTACAGGAGGCTTCAAGCACCAAGTGGAACACAGAATCTGGGGAGGAACAGGGGTGTGCACCACAAAACTCATCTCAGCATGCCAGGGATGTTCAGGGCACTGAGATGCCAGGCTGCCCTTACCCATCCAAGTCTGTCAGCCTCAAAATTAACTTATTGAGGTCAGCACTCATAACAGGAGTGCAGAGTTTTGATTGAGTCTTCCTTTCTGAGAGAGCCCCATTGTCTCTGGCCCAGTGCAGCTATTACCTGCCAGCCTAAAGGATGATGAATGTTATTTATATTGCAGTAATGGCTAACCACTCAGTGGAGACCAGGGACAGGCTGTGCTATGGACTTTTCAAACACCCACTGAATGAGGGCTGCCCGCAGATGCCTGGAAGTGCCAAGGCTTTTCAGGATAATGTTCTTGAATGTCTTGGACACGATGATCTCCATCAACTGCAGTACTTGTGCTGACTGCAACAACACTGGGGGCGTTTCTACACTAAAAATGTTCCTTCGTACCAAATTTTTATCAGTCACTGTGACATGTCCTTATAATAGTAAAGAACTCATCTACTTCAAAGCAAGCAACTACTTCATAAGAGGCTTTTAAGTTCCTTGATTAATAAATGTACAATATAATTTCTTTCAAACCAAACAGAAAATACAGAGGCATAAAGAGTTATTCTAATGGAAGGTTTTCCTAATATTTAGCTGCTATTGTTCTGCTGTCCAAGAAATAAAGAATCAATGAATAGGAACTATTCAAGATGAAGATGAGAAAAGTAATCTAGCAATAGTAAAAGATGAAGGGCCTGATCCTATAAAAAATCCTGTAAGACCAATTTAACTTTGGCATGTGCACACTTGCAGGATTAGGCTTCAAATAATTGCAGAGAAATGTAAGAACTGATAAACTATAGCTTTAGCCTTCCACTACAGTGAGCCCAGAGAGTGGATAACTAACACTTCCCAGGAAATATCCTTCCAAAAAATAGCCCTGCAAAGATGCAGAGGAAATACATCTAAAATATTAAATGCAGATTTTTTTTACTATTAGTGATTCTCTTTGTATCTTGGAAAAATCACACAGTGACTTCTTTCATATGCACTGAGGAAAAAAACCCTAAAATATTAAGTGACACATTCTACCAAGGAATGCCTTAGAGAAGGTGCTGTGAAATAAGTGTCAGACCCTGTTTTATTCCTTCTACAATTAATTTTCCACTGCCACAGTTCTAAAAATATATCCAGAAATCAGCAGACATTTGTGTCCTTCAGATACCTGATTAAAATACAAGTGCTAAGAAACACCTTACCTTTAATTATACTCTTTACACTTAAAAACTGCTTTAGACAGGGCTGTGTCAGAGCATCAGAGCCAAAAGCCTGAAGATCTCAGAGCCCAGTAAACAGCCTAAGCAGGGAACAACCTGATATGCTTTCTTCTGCCTTTTCCATCAGATGAGTGCTCACTCCAAAACTGAATGGGAGAAATTAAGCACACAGTGAGAGACTGCAAGTTCTTTCTGGCTGTCTCAATTCTAGAAGGCTCCTAAGAGGAGTGATGTCTCAGCATCTGGGCATTCCTTTCACTGTCAGACTAAGAGCAGTGGGATTTATCAGCAATCTGCTGAGCATATACAGATGACAACTGCAGAGCTTGGAGAGCTCAAAGGCACTTACAGATAGAAAGGGGTTAGCAAAAGACATGTTGAGCCAGAGCTGAGAGCTGGTGCCTATGAAAATTGCTCCCAATTGCTGTTAAACCTTTAGCTGTGGTAGCTAAACCAGGCACTGCAATATGCACAATTTATCCTCGGTGTGCTTTACAATTGCACAGACTGAGGAAGGCTGATCAGCCTCCATGTCACATTTTACAAGGAAAAGGCTGTTGGGATGATCTTGGAAGGTGGTCTTTACTGCCTAAAGTCCATCTATCTTTGCCTACAACTCCATCTATCACTCAAACACATGGAAATGAAGTAGTTTATGAACTGGTTTTGGATTTTTAAAGTACAAATTTCATGAAAAATAGATTTAAAGCTCTCTCCAGTACCCACATCTCACCTAATGGTACTTTATCCCTTGTTGATTTCCAGCCTGTTGCCCCACCATGATCTACATATCTTCCTAAATCTTTTAAAGTATCTTGTCAAAAGGATATGACTTGCTGACATCACACAGAGATGCATTATATCAAAATGTTTTTGCTGTACTGACATAAGCTCCAAATTATTTCCAAAGTCAGCTGTATTTTCAATAATTTGTCCCTTTTTCATTTTTCAAAATAGCTTTATTCACCTGTGGTAGCAAATTGCTTAAGTCCCTCCATCCTCACTCCAGACAGTGATAGAACTTGGCACCAAACTTTTTTATAGCAGCAAATGTGTTTTTGTTTCCCTGGCATCCTAAAAAAAATTAAATCTTTCTTCAGCTACAGTCTGCACAAAAGCATGCTAGCTCTGTGGTGTTCAAGAATAGCTAGTTAGACTCCGAGGCTATACATTCTTCTGCTAAAAGATACATTATCACATCTATGTCTAAATATTTATGGTTCCTGTTTGCTAAAAGCAACACCTACAATTGCTGTAATTGGAAATGACAAAATAAAAAAGAAAATCTTCCCCAATTTGCCACCCTTTTGCATCTAACAACACTAAATATATAGTCCAGTTCATTAGAATTTTGCCTGTTTCTGTTTAGCTATAACAAGGGAGAAATAATTGTGTTTAAAAAGAAGCAAATGGAATTCTAAATATGACAGAAATGGAAAGAGATTTGATGGGTTGATGCAGCACTTGAAACCCCTGAACACATGTGAAAAGGAACAGATCATAGAACCATACAATCATTTAGGTGGAAAAACACCTGTAAGGTCGCTGAATCCAGCCATCAATCCAGCACTGCCAAGCCCATCAGTTACCCACGTTCCTGAGGGCCCCATCTACACATCTTTTAAATACCTCAGGGATGGTGACTCCACCACTTCGCTGAACAGCCTCTTCCAGTGCCTGACAATCCTTTAACCCTATTAACTTTTGTCTCATTTAACTGCTTTCAACCACCACACCAGCAAAGATTGCCATCATTTACTTCCATTGGATCTCCTTGCTCAGCAGTCTCATTAAGCTTTTACCCATACTAGTGGAGTTTTCAGGCACTACACTTCATATAACTTGTCAGTAACATGCTTTTTTCTCCATTTTTGCATATTTAAGTAATTGAGAAACTTTAAAACACTCCACCATTTTTTTTTGTGAGTGGAGACTTGTCGTCATGTAGATATCACAAAGGAAAAAATGCAAAAGCAGAAAATGTCACGATGTCTCTTTCAAGCAGATGGTATTGCAGTAGCACTGAACAAGTTTATATTAATTACTTTCAGAAAGAGAAGGAGATGTCATATTTCAGATAGAGGATCCTACCAAACCCACGAAGAACAAGCCGTAAATTTAACAATAGTGAGATTTTCTCATAGAATCATTATGACAGCTGTCAAACTGGGGAAAACTTTTTGTTAATGCCAGTACAATTGTTCATTTAAACAAAAGCCAGTGATTCAGTCACACTGGAACAGCTCATGAGCTGAGCTCTGCTGCACAATCTGCACACATGCTGATATTCCATCTATATGCAGAGTTGCTCTTTAATTTCCATCTTTGGGGCTACAATGTGATTTGTCCAGAGCTGAGCAGAGCCCTACAAAAATCAGGCCAGAAGGCAATTTGTGATTGAGCTGTAACAAGCTGCCTGTTTTTTCTCTGCTTGGAAGGGGGAGGTTTGGCACCCCAGGCGAGCAGCTGGCAGAGGACACCCTCCCTGCATGCCAGGCTGACCATGTGGTCACCCTTTTTCCCTGTGCCCTCAAAATAAGAGACCGCAATTATTTGTAGAGATGCACCTTGTGTGCAGTGAAAGACTGAAGTACCAAAGGTGTCAACTGTATCCTCCCTCAGAGAGGGAGCTCACAAGGAAATCCCAGTATAGATCTTGGTGCTGTCACAGGATCTTTGCAAGAAATAAAAATGCAGAGATCCCATCCCTCCACCCATGGGAGAGCCTGGGCCATTAAAGCAATTTACTAACAGCAAAACCAGCTCTGAAGAAAGATGGAGTGTAACTCTTACCTCCTCGTAGACATCATCATTCCTGCTGAAGTCTCCAGCCCTCCTTGGCAGCACATGGACATGAACATGCTGAAAATGTGAAACAAAATAATGATTATCAAGTTCATGACTTTCTTTTCTGAACTGTCAGCATTATTCTCAACACACACAAGTAACCGTGCACAGGCTCCCACAGCATTATATTCAGAGGAAAATACATTAACCTGTTCCATAACTGTATCTCAACTCTTTGGAGAATATAAAAGATGAAAAACATGAGAGCAGCCCTGGTGTATTATATGAGCTTCAGAGTGAAATGCCTGGAAGTTTAGGGGCTCTGTGGAATTATTCATAGTTGTCAGTCAGAGACATATTTAGCCACAGCTTTGAAATAACAACGTCCCTTGAAGCTGAGCATTGTGGCTTTGGAATGGATGGGAATAAGAAGGTGCTGGAGATGGAGAGCTCGTGTGGGCAGCCTGGGCTCAGGGTTCCCTGTTTGGGGACAAAGCAGCTGCTGCCACACCATGGACAGCATGTGGGCAGAAGAGCTGGCAGAGAGGACAATGCCTCTCACAAGGTAAAAAAGACTTCAAAAAGACATTAAAATGCTTCCTTTCCTCCCCGGAGGCTGTAGCCTAAATACAGCAAACTCAAACCTGTGGGGCACAAGGATCATGCTGGGGACACACCAGCAGGGACAGAGTGCCAAGTGGCCCAAAACCTGTGAGGCACAAGGATTATGAGACCAGTTTGGCAGAGCCTGAAGTGTGTCCCTCTCCTGGCACAGGGCCATGGCCCACAGGGTAGCAGGGCTGAGAACTGAGCTGCACAGGCAGCTTTGAGTCACCTAGTTTGGGGAGGAGGTGAATGGTGATGTGGTTTTGTCAAAAGTGCTGATGAGATCTGGGGAATACAAACAAAATTATGGGCACAACACAAATATATGACTTGGCACCTTAGTGTTGTGTTATTACTATTACCTTTTTTTTTTCTTTTCTGACACTCTGTTCATACCATAAAGGAAGGTCCTCGAGACCCAAACTCTACCTTCTGCAGTAAGTTCAACTACTAGCAACATTGTAATGCATTCTTTTTTTCTTTTTCCCTTTGTCTTTCACTCTTGAGTAAAGAAAAAAAAAACAACTGAGAATAATTCTTCAGGGGAAAAAAACCCAACACCTCAGTGAGGAGAGGCTGCAAATAATCCAAGTGATAGATCACATTTACGCATCTTCAGATCTTTTTAGATGGTGCCTAAATCCTTTAAAAAATAAATTACTGCATCACAAACAGCACCAAATGGTTTGCATAGAATTTAGATAGCTTGCACCTGATTCAATTTGATGAGGTAGAAATCAGCTGAAACTCCTGCACCTCATGGAAACATTCTCAAAACAAGGCTTAAGTCTATAATGAAATATGAAATCAAAAAAAGGTTTTCTTAGGCTATTTGTAACAAAATTCAAACACACCTATATTGTGTTAGCTTCTATCCATAATACCATTTGCTCAGTGAATAAAATGAAAACACAAGGATGTTTCAGTTAATGAAATATTCCAAATACCACACTATTTTTTTTTTTCTCAGCTTTACCCTAGAGAAACTGAATATGTGATTTCTTATTCTTATCATTATCCACAGCTTTCAGTGTATTCAGACTAGAGATTAGGGTGAATCTTGAGGGTCAGAAACTGTGTTTTTGAGTAATATATCAGTGATAGTGTTCTGATAGTGTATTATACTAATATATCATAAGAGCAAAAGTGCTCCTGTGATGTATTAGTGCAATGTATCATCTGAACATCACTGCTTGTATGATGTATTGCTCAAAATCACAAAGCAACTTTAAAGACAGTCTTCAGTAGCCCTAGGCCTGAAATTTCGCTTTTGGACAGACCTTCAAGAAAAATAAAACTGTAGATTAAAGTTTGCAGGGATACTGTAAAATTTCACTACTGTCTCACATCTGTTGTTCTCATTAGATTTTAAATTTATTCATATGAATAGAGCCAATTCATCTGCCAGTCAGTTTCCTTCTCTTCTGCTACAAGGAATGATAGTTTTGCTACAAGTATCAATTTGCAGGAATTTCTCTTCACGATATATATAAAACCTAACATCAGCTATCAACAACCATATTCCCCAGAAGTTTAGCCACCTTTAAGCATAATTTTTATCTCTGGTGCAGAATGCTGCAGGACACACACATGAGAAGATCTGTGTATACCCGTGACAGACGATTTGGAGTATCAGAAAACACGCAGGGATGAGTCCAAAGCTCAGTGCAGAGATGCTGCACTGCAGATGCACAGACCAGCACAGCAGGTAATGAATGAGCCTAATGTGATCTTCTACCCAAAATGGGCTCTTATGATCAGTGTGGAAAAAAAAAAAATAATAAAAAGTGTTTATGACAGCATATGGGCCACTTGGCATCAGTGGGGATGTTCTCAGGGGTTAGTCACCTTTACTACGTGCATTATGTTCTCACATGCTGCCAGGCTGCATAGCAGAATCCATCAGCTGTATCACAAAACAAATGAATATTCCCAAGGTTTGTAGTAACATCAATTTAAAAGAGAGTAATTTTTTCCAGTCATCCGTTTGTTTTTTTTTTTTATAATTTTGTGTATGGGAAAGAAATAAATATCTGGATTCTCTCCACTGTTTGTATAACAGAAACAAACGGGTTCAGCAGTATTGTCTCGCATATTTCCCTTCTCTTCAGTTTTACCAAGAAATACAAGCAGCACAGAGCTGTGGCTACCACGCAGCCAGAAACACTGAACAGGGAGATTCCACACCTTCTCCAATCTGCCTTTCAGCTTCTGCCCTTCTCAACTCAGACTGGTTGATACTTTGATTCATCAGGAGATCTTTAATTGATCATTTTTTACTCCTTAGTACTATTTGTTACTGCTATAGCCTCAATGCACCAAGGCACCTAAGCACCAGCTCCATTTCCAACCTGTGAATTGGTTCAGTGAGAATTTTCACATGCCAGGTGTTTTGTTTATGTTTTGCATCTACTACTGGCTACAGAGAGGTCTCCCTAAATGGCAGTAGCAAAACTAACTTCAAGGTGCCCACAAATTAAAATTGTTTCCTTTCATTTGTTTTCCAAGCAAAACAAAAACCCACATATCTAAAAAAACCATTTGCAATTGACTGAAATACATCAGATGCAAACAAAACACTGGGATGCTTCCTTTTTTTTTAACCAAACAAATAGATTTAGCAAATCTTCTATCAAAATACTGCTTGAACAAAACATCTAAACATTGACCAAAATTGTCAAAATAAAGCATTTTAATTTTTTTTTCTCCAGTTTTGTAGGGATCCTCATGCCTGGTGGGTGGCAGACAGCCCCATCACATTCCAGCAGGCTGTAATCAGTCACTGTTGATGGTATTTCATTTTTTTCCTAAAAAAAATTGCTTTCCCCTCATTTTGCATGGTTTTGATTAATAAGCAAGGAAAGCAACACACAACAGCCAAGACATTTACACTAATGGACCAATCAATATCACCCACATCAGGGCACAAAAATGCAGGCACACACTTGCATTGCTTAGGCTCATCCCTGCTCACCAGGCACTGATAGAGGAAGCAGGACACTGCCACACTGGGTGTGACAACAGTGACAACGTGACAATGCAGCAGAAGTCCCCAGGTGGGGGGCACTGTGTGAGTTAAAGATGCCTGAGCCTCGCTCGTTGCTTCTGAAACTGGGGGCAAGATTTCCAGTCAGGGATATTTAGAATAGCAGTAGCAGGAAGGAGGCTGTGGAAGCTGGATTTTATAGGACCTTCAAAATTAAAATTATTAGACTGACAGTTTTCTAGGGTAGGGACTGCAGCTCCCCCTGCTTTGCAATGTAAACAAAATCTCAGTTTGAGAAACCTCTAATGGTGAGAGTTATCAGGTGATGCAGAACCACTTGTAAGAGAAGTTTCTTCAAGACATTTATATCCAGAATGACAAGAGCATTAGAAAATGTACTGCAAGGAACAGATCTGCAGTGCCACGGGGAACTAATGAGCCAGAGCCAGGGTGTGATGCCTCTGGCCTCCCACTGCAGCAAGAGGATGCTCTGATGAGCTCCATGGCATTCCAGTCAGGACTGTGGGAGCACAGGGCTGCTCATGGGCACTCTGGATCATGCTCGTGCCACCACTGCCAAAATCTGGCCGCATCACAGGCATTTGTGAGATTATACCACTAAAGCTGCTCTCCAGTAAACCAGGGCTGCAAAATGCCCAGAAAGTCTCAGCCAAAAGACCTGGAGCTTGTGTTGCTGCAGAAACAAGCATTCAGATCAGGTGAGTTTTACTTCAGCACTCAAGGCCAAGCAGAAAGCAATGTTCCTGGTTACGGCTGGTTTTATATACTGAATTATGGTCAAATAACCAACGTGTCACCACTGCACTGGATTTCAAGTGAAAATACTGGACAAAAATAGACACCGAAACAGATTTCCCAGGCAGACCAGAATAGTGAAGAGCAGATGAACCTGCCACACACCACTGGGGAGGACATGGGCATTGCCTACAATAATTCATGGACATTATGTTGTGTTCACTCAGCTGCTGTGCTGGTTAGGACGGCAACAGAGCTCAGCTTCCAGTTGAAAGGGAGATAATAGTCTGTACATGAGCTGCCCAACATCCAGGATCTATTGGCAAAAAATGTTCTTATAGCATGAATACAGAAAAACTGGCAAAGGGTCATACAACCCTGAGGATGGGAAGCTGCCACAACGTTGGCAGAGGAAGGGCTGTTCTCCCTACATCTGCAAAAGCAGAACATGGCTAACCTGTGCCTTCATGCAGCAAAACCAGCTGCCTTTCAGCAGCTTCATCCTTCCCTTTGTTCCTTTTCATTTATTCTCCAGTCAAAGCTCGGCAGCTGTGGGTTTCCATGGTGTCATGGTGCAGCAGGACAGGAAAAGCTGTGACCTGCTGTGGTTGTGGCCAGGCAGGAGGAAGGGCTGGAAGGGAATCAACAGCTCCCAGCAGCAAGACCAGCTGGCCAGGAGACACTCACCAGCCAGTTCACTGGGAAAAGGGATGGTGGTTCTGAGATA